CCTTTGAGAAATTTACATTCTATTGGGAAGATATCATGTAAGCAAATAAGATATATATATATATATATATATATATATATATATATATATATATATATATATATATATATATATATATGATAATTTGGGAAGGTAGAGAATACAAACTAGATCAGACAAGGTTTCCCCTAGGAGGTGACCCATAAGCCAAGTCTTAAAAGAAGCTAGAAATTCTAAGGGACTGAGGTAAAGAGAGAGTATACTCCAGGAATTGGTGACAGCCTGTGTGCAAAGACAGAGTAGTGGAATATGAAATGTGGAGATCAAGGAGACCAGTTTGTTTGGAATGGAGAATGAACAGAAAAATCAAAAAAAAAAAAAGAAAGAACATAGAGGGGCAGCTAAGTGGTGCAGTGGATAGAGCTCCAGCTTTGGAGTCAGGAGGTCCTGAGTTTAAATCTGGCCTCAGACACTCAATGCTTACTAGCTGTGTGACCCTGGGCAAGTCACTTAACCCCAATTGCCTCACTGAAAAGAAAAAAAAGAGAGAATGAATGAAGGAAAACAATATGAAATAAGTCTACAAAGAGGGGTAGAACCAGATTGTGAGGCACTTGAAATGTCAGGTTGAAAAGTTTCAGTTTCATCCCAGAGGTGATAAATAGCAATTGGAGGTTTGGAGAAGGTGAGTGTCATGGTCATTTTGTGTTGTAGGAAAATTGTTTTGGAACTTGGTTGGAGGATGGATTGGAAAGGGGAGATATTAAAAGCTGGATGCCCAATTCTCTAGGTTAGAGGTCATGATGAGAATGAGGATGAGGATCATAACTAGAATTTATAAAATGTTTTACTATTATTATCTCATTTTATCCTGACAATATCCCTAGGAGGTAAGTGATGTTATTACCCCCATTTTACAGATGAGAAAACTGAGGCAAATTATGTTTCTGGGATTTGCCTAAGATTATACATCTAGTACGTTTCTGAGGCTGAATTTGTACTCAGGAATACTCAGTAGTTCCAGAATCCAGGTCCATCTAGTTGCCTAACTAGGCAATGAGTAGCTGACTAAGTTGATAGCCATCTGAGTTGGGGGTAAGGGACAATAGTGAGATATGGAACTCAAATCAATAAAATGGCAGCTGATTGGAAATGATCATTAAGGTAACAGGAAAATTACAGGTGACTCAGAGGTCATGAACCTGGGTGACTGAATGAGTAATGTGTGCCTTGAAAAGAAATAGGGAAATTTGGATGAAGAGAGTATTTGGGAGAGAAGGTAATGAGTTTTATTTTGTACCTATTGAGTTAGAGATGCCTGTGAGATATCCATTTGGGGATGTTCAATAGAGAGCTAGTGAAGTGTGACTAAAATTTAAGAGAGAAACCTGGGCTTGATAAATACATGCAGGTGTCATCTGTACAGAGATAATTGAAACCATAGGAGCTGATGAGATTACTGAGAGAGAAGAGAAATGGACCACTGACATAGCCTTGAGGGTAGAAGAGACATACAGTTAAGGAGCAGTATATAGTTTTGAAGAAGATTGAGAAGGAGAGGACAGATAGGAGAACCATGAAAGAGCAGTGCTATGCAAACCTCAGGAGAGAGCCTCCAGGAGAATAGGGTGCTCTATCACAAGAAAGATGTCAAGAAGAATGAAGACAGAGCAAAGGACATCAGATCTAGCAAATGAAATATTGTAACCTTGGAGAGAGCAGTATTAAGTATCACATCCATCGTAAGCCTGCACTGGCATTTTTTTTTTTGATGGTATATCACATTGTTGACCTATTTTGATCTTGTAGTCCACACACACACACACACACACACACACAATACATATACATACCACTTTCAATATTTTTGAATCCCTGTTGATATATACATGCCTTCCTCATCTTATACTCATTCTTCCTTTTGCAGGTGCAAAATGTGTGAATTGCCAGAAAGCCTTTGACAATGAAAGAATAATGTATAATGTGCCAATTAAATGCATAATATTTCCTCTGAAATATACTGATGTTATCATAGAATAACCAGATATCTGTTTCTGATACCATATCCTATAGAAGGGCATGTAATTTTAAACTGTCTCTTTTAAAACTAAATTGAGGATGAAAACAAAACAAAACAAAATCGGACAGCTAGGTGTTGCAGTGGAGAGAGCACCAGCCCTGAAGTTGGGAGGACCTGAGTTCAAATCTGACCTCAGACCAAACACTTGACACTTACTAGCTATGTGACCCTGGGCAAGTCACTTAACCCCAATTGCCCCCCCAAAAAAAACTAAACTAAATTGAGGATGAACAAATTTCACAAATAACTAAAAGCATAGTATGAAAGTTCCTGTCTTCCATATTAAAAAAAAACTTTTGAAAACTTCACTTTTGGTGTTTATTGATGTAAAAAAACCCTCCTTAATTCTCCAGAGGCCATTTGCTAGCATGTTTCACAACTTGAAATATTTATAGTCCTGGCACAAGTGTTTGGATTTTTCCATCTGCATGGAGAATTTCCATGGCTGCCTACAAACAGTCCCTAAAGAATCCCTTAACCTAAAATGGGTCCTTTTTTTAAGATGAGGAAGAAGTTGGGACTAAATATTTGGGCACATGGAAGCCTACGTGGGTCAGGCATCACTACCCATTTGTTTGAAAAGCAGAGCTCCAAATATTTAAAATATGTTTTCTAAAAGGCAACATCATGCCTCAGGAAGTACAGATGCCTATACAGGGTAATTGAAGGCATACGGCTGAACACACTTTATAATAATTGTGCTTTTGTGGGTGATTTTACTCCCTTCCGACAGAGCTGCAGTTTTGAAGTCTCATGGCTGGTTACATTAAAACTTCCTTCAGGGTCTGGATAAATCCATCTTCTCAACTGCATTTGAATCAGAGACAGCTTTAAAGGGAGCAGTCTTGTAAAGACAAAATTGGCTGATCAGCCACATGGAAAGCTTTATTTAAAGCTCCTCAAGATTAAACTCAATATGGGATATTAAATTTTTCATAGTATTTAGGAAATGATTGAGGAATTCAAAAAATGTAGTTTCCTTTGAAATTAAGACACAGCTATATTCCATCTAATGTCAATAATAACACCTTCAAAAATACAACTTTAGATAAAATAATGGTGCAGGCAACAGTTACTTCTATTGCAATCATGTTACAAATAGAAGATAGTTTCATGAACAGCAAATATTCATACAAAAAAATTAAAATCAGTCACTACAGAGACTGAGGACCATTATAGGGTCAGGTAGAATTGCATGAATCTGTTCAGATGGGGTGCTATCAAGCCAACAGAGAAACCACTACTTTACTTGCCAGCCAGTTGAAAGGGAGTTGAGGAGAGAGTACATCTGTATTGAGAACAAGAATCCAAAGATCCAGAGGAAAAGGGGGGGAAGGAGGAAAACACTGATTAAGTGCCTACTATGTGCCATGCACTGTGCTAAGAGCTTCACGAATATTATCTCATTTCATACTCACAATAATCCTATGAGGTAGATGCTATTATTATCTCTATTTCATAATTGGGGAAACAGAAGTTAAGTGACTTGCCCAGGTTCACACAGGTAGTAAGTGTCTGAGGTCCAATTTGACCTCAAGTCTTTCTAACTCCAGACTTGCACCACCTAGATGTCCTAGAAAAATCTTAGAATTGAGATAGGAAAAGGAGCAAATGCTTTCCTTCCCAAGAATCCCCTAACCTAATGTATAATCTCGTTTGAAATGAAAATTCTCAGATGAGCACAAGCATTTTTTTCCTGAGGCTGGGGATAGGGGAGAGGTGTGAAAGGGAGGGAGAAGAAGGGAAGGGAAGGAAGGAAGAATAACTAATCTTTCTAGAGGAACAGAGCCCTAGTACAAGGTGATAAAAGTAAAACATAATTGATTAGAGACTGAGACTAAGGATCCAGATCTTTGATTCCTGTTGTTCAAGAGACTTGAGGAGTAGAGCATCTAAAAGGAGAATGATTTAGGCTAATAGATTCATGGGTTGTAGCATAAGAAGAGAAGACTGGGACATCAAGACCAACCTCTTTTTATAGATTAAGAAAACGAGGAACAGAAAGGATAAGTGACTTCCACAAAGTAAAACAGCAGAGACCTCTTGACTCCAACTGCAGTATTCTTTGTACTTTGCCACACTGACTTTGAATCTGAAATGGGATAAAAGTTTAAATTAAAAAATCTCTCGAGGTTTCAAAATTTCCTTTTCTTATTTCTTTTTATGTTGCAGAAGTAGCTAAGGGCAGCAATTAGACATCTCTCTCTTTTTTTTAATGTTAGAGACATAGCACTTGTAAATTGGTCTCTACTGTTCTTAACAAGGCTCTGAGATATTTAACAAACCAAGTGAAGAACAAAAACCTTTAATGGGGGACAGTCTCTGGGAGTGGGCCAGAGAAATGGAATGCGACTTTAGGGTTGTTCTTAGTGGAATATTACTGTAGCACTTTTCTCATTAATGCACCTGGAATTATTTTATGAACACTGCTATTTTAATAATTTCAGATGTCTCTGAAGTATATTACTGGCGACTTTTACTATTTTTCAGTTGTGCAGAAGAGTAAATGAGGTCAGAAATATGACCAAGATCACAGACCAAGCCTCTGGCAGAAGTTGGAATGGAACTTAGTTCTGCAACAGAATTCTATTCCCAAGATCACAATAATACTTAATAGTCATAGTTCTGCAATTATCATCTATTTTCTCTCTTATTTAAAAATGAATTATTCTGAAAACTAGCACATTGCCTTGCACAAAGTAGTTATTTAATAAATGCTTGTTGGACTGATTTAGAATAGAAAACTGAATTAAAACCAAATTTATCATCATTGTCTCCAAATCCATTCCACTTTGTTTTTCTAGTTCTATAAATGGCACCACTATTGATTTTTTTAAGCCAAACCAAAACAATAAAAACAAGTCACTAGACATGATTGTTTGAAAGTTTTGAGTTCTTGAAATAAGCATAAATGTTCATATTTGTTTACATTTTATTTTAGGGTCAGACATTGTGCAATGGTTAACAAAGAACTTAACTATAGAAGACCCGGGTAAGTAAATTTTTTTTCTCTTTTATGGAAATTGCTTTACTTTGAGGTTTCTTTTTTTTAAAGTTATATTCTCTTAGGGTTATTCTTACCAGAATATTCTCCTGGAATATAATAACTAATCCTAAATTAAGGGCATATGCAAATAAATATTTAATCATTTTTGACATTTCATATAGAGTATGCAACTTCTTCACACACTTTAACATAATAGCATTTTAAAATCTAATTTTTGATAAAATGCCTGCCTACTCCTAGTTAAGTGACGTGTCTTACAGATGCAGATTCGTGTTACTCAGTGTTCTTAATTCTTGTGCCTTCTCTCTGCTGATTGTCACCAATTTTTTCCATCTACAGCTTGTTCGTATATAGTTATTTGCATGTTGTCTTTTCCATCAGACTGTGAGCTCCTTGAGAGTAAGGACTATCTTTTATCTTTCTTTGTATCCCTTGGGCTCAGCACAGTGCTTGGCATACAGTAGACAATTAGTGCTTGTTGACTGTCTAATTAACTGTAAAGTGATGAGACTGGTTTCACCAAACCATATGTAGTTGTACTGCTTTGTGGTCATAGGCCATATATATATATACATGTGTTCTTGAACTCCCTCTATAAGAAATTCAATCAGAATGAAACTTCCTGAATATACAAAATGTCTCTAAGATTTTAAGTAAATATTTGATATAATGGAATTAAGTACAATGAAAAATAAGAACAGTCCTATGAAATCCAACTTATCTGACTAATATATTGATATTAGTTATAAATCGAAGTTTGACTTTTTAGGTGTATCAATGAATTGTGACAGCACCCATGGTGCAGTACTTGAAAATATCTGTACAATTACTTTGTCTATGGATTTTATTCTATCCTTCTTCATGAAACTGCATTACATAGGAACCTATGTAGCCTCCCCTCAACAAACACTAGGAAATAAAGTTGTGAATTTGCTTAAATCAGTTCATCATTCTCTTCACGAATGAGATTCAGTAAATTGTGAATAATAAAATAGACATAAATAGGCTATTAACCGAGAAAAAATACCATTATCAAATGGGCCAATTTTTCTCCAACTTTCTTGCATGGAAGGAGTAGGAAGCCAGGGAAGCTTCCCATTTTCATCAAATGAAGGAAATGGGATATTTGCCTACAGGGTGTTGGGAAGGCATTAAGTCAGAACCTTCCATGGCAAATTGACCACATTGACTCTGGCTTATGGGCTGAATTTTCTGCAATGTCTCCCAATTGATCATTAACACCTAGATTTTATTCATTGTGAAACAGATTTTGTTGGGCTCATTGTGTATGAGCACACATAGACTTGAAGTGATTTTCAGCCTTGAGCATCTTAGCATGTTTATGCTGCATTCGTTCATTTGGGGTGGGGGGGGAAGGAAGGGGAGAGGAGGGTTCAAGAGAAAAGTACTGGTAAATCTCTCATTGAAATGCACAAGTCTTTTCTCTTACAATTTGTTAATCATTCTGACTTGTATCCATTTTGTTCAGATGACCTAAGTACCCAGATTTAGAATTGTTTATCCCTCAGGCTTCTTTAAACATGTATTAGTTCCAGATAAGCATTTGAATCCATAGGTCAGCACTGAACAAAGAGGAGTTTTGCATATATTTTAACTTGATGCATTCAAAGGTTTTTAGAAGCTATGAATGTCTATCTCTAGATAAGTGCTAAAATGTAGAATCATAATTGGTGCTCAGTGAATCCTTTTGAGTGAGCAGTATATGTGCACTCCAATTAAAAAAATATTTTTGGTAAGTGGAAAAATATAGTAGGGTTTATGTGATGTAGGAGAAGGTGACTTTGAATTTGGAAACATACATATCGCCATAAACATGCAAAAAGCTTGGTGTGGGATCAGAAGTCCTTGAATTTTCTGTCTTTTCATTCCAAATATATGCAAACCTAAAGGCCCTTTGGAAATGAACAGCAGAGTCATGCAGAAAATTCATCCACTTTCTATTGGTGGCAGGATTGTCTCACAAAGGATTTATCATTAAAATGAAAAGTTTCTCCAACTCATTCAAGGGCTAACTTTTGATCTCTTGCAGTCTGGCTCCCCCATAGATGCCAGGGAAGGAGAGATAAGTAAGGAAAAGACAATCACTTTCCTGGAGCGCTAAATATGTCTTGAAAGACTTTCTGTAGCTGTGATTATTAACCATGGCTAATTGGACTGAGCTGAATAAGAAAACAGAAATGAAAGTAGTCAAGACAGTTGTCCTTGAGCTGTTCCCACTGCTTCTATTTCTAATTGGTACAAAATCATATTTCTCATCCTTCCCAAACTGATATTTCCTATGGAAAATTGCTAACGTTCACTGGGTAACCTCCATGATTTCTTAGGGATCACCGAAACAATGATCATGTCTTTGACTTACCAAAATGTGCAGATTTGTTGCACAACTGAAAAATACTTTTTTCTTTTACATACATTGCGTCTGTTTCTATGCAGTTTGTTCTGGTTAGAGGAGGTTTGGGAAAGTGTAGAGGAAGAGAGGAGAGAGAAAAAGGGAAAGGGTGAGGGAGGGAGGAAAGAGAGGTAAAAGAGAGAAACTGAGATAGTAGAAGGGAAAAACAGAAAGACAGAGTGGAGATAAAGGAGGAAGGAGAGAGAAAAGGTACAGGAATGAACATGATAATAAGAAGGATATAGAGAAATTCTGAATGGAAGAAATCTCTAAAAGCAACAGTGCACAGAGAAAAGCAGAAGTCCAGTGCTTCAAGCCTTTGGTCAGCCATCACCTGTCCAGAGATCTAGGGTCTGCCTTCTCTACCAGGGGGGCACCCTTGAAACCTTAGTTAAAGAATTTCTTTGCTTTAGGATTCTCAGTCCCTGTCAAATAGGAGCATCATTTTCCCACTGGCCTTCAGAGTTGTTAGGAGGATTAATGAGTGCATGCTTGGCATGCTGGAATGTCTCAAAAGGAACTATATTTATCAGCCAGTGATTTATTAAGTGCCTACATGGTACACAGTCCTTGTATTTGACTCTGAGGGTTACAAAGTAATGATCAGAGATAGCCTTGTTCTCAAGGAACTTAAAGTTTAATAATAAGGCAGTCAAAGAGGCAGGCATTTGTGTATCCATTACAGCCTGACAATGCTTTCAGCACCATTTGCTGTCCTGTCCCTCTCCACACTTCCCATACAACCAATGTTTCCATGTCTCTCACTTACACTTACACAGTAGTAGCCCAGTAGGATGAGTGGGGAAAGATTAAAAGTAGGATAGGCTTCAGCAAAACTGTTTGGAGGAGGAGAGAAGAGTCTTGAGTCTCACCCAGAGAGCTCCCTCGGGAGATGCATCACTGTGATTGTGTCTTCCCTTTGTTGTCATATACGTTCTTCATAGGTGTTCATAGAAAAGGCAATATTCATTCATTCATAAAACATTCATTCAGTAAATACTATCACCACATTCTGTTCTCAGTTCTGGACATTCTAAGCAGAAAACAAGACAATAATAACTACAACAGCCACCACAGCAGCAACTGTCTCTGTTCTCAAGGAGCTTACATTGTATTACAATTGTTGTAAGAGTGCACTATAAGGCAGAGAATAGGGTTTGGTAGAAAGGTTTAAGCAGGCTGTCTGGTGTCATAGATTAACAGTCAGGAGACATAGATTCAAAGGTATTATATGTCTCCTGCAAAGGTTCAGGGTGAAAGATTTTGAGCTAAAAAGCGCCTAGTCTAACCTTCACATTTTACAGATGAGGGAACGATACCAGAGGATTTAAGTAACTTAATAAAGTAACATAGGAAGTAAGTGAATAGGTAATCCTATTTTCCTTACTTGTAAAATGGGCACAAGGCTCATAAACACATTTAATTTCCCAACATTTCCTATAATTCCTTGACACAGTTTTTTTTAAACACCTGAAATGTTTTCATCTGTCATAACATAAACTAAAATAATTCCGTTTGAATCTCTATAGTAAATCAGACCCAATGTTTGGAACCTCTATTGGCTTACTATGTCCCCTATTGCAAGATCTGCATGTAATAGAGAACTGGTCTTGGAGTCAGAAAGACCAAGGTTCAAATCCCTCCTAGATACATAATTGCTACGTGACCCTAGGTAAGTCACTTAACCTCTTTTTGCATCAGGCAACTGTCCATAAAAGGGAATGTTTTTTCCTTATCTATCTCTCCTTCCCTGGCATATGCCAGAAGTTCTAATGAAGGAGGTAGAAAGTTAATTCTGGACTAAGTCACTTCCTTGCTCAGATGAGATGGCTCCTCACTGGACTTGGCTATCATTACTGCCAAGCTCTTGTGGTCTCTTCTACTCCCTGGTTGCTATGGGCACCTCTGATGGTTCTTCCAATCTTTCAAAAATCACAAGTTACGATATGTTATCATTATTATTATTGGCAAAGAATATAATAGAAGTTTATGTTTGTAGGGATAATTTAAACCATTTTGAACCTTGTAACAAACCTCTGGCCTATGGAGCTCTTATTATTATTTCTTAGATGAGAAAACAGCCTCAGATCATTTAAGTGATTTTCCTAAGGTCACACAGGTAAAAAGTCATAGAGTCAGATCTGAAAGTTCAGGGTCCTTTCTCTACACCACGCTTCCATCCTGTGTTTTTGAAAACTCATGCTATAATGCTTTTTGCAGGGAGGTAGAACACTGTTGGCTATTGAATGACATAGTCAAGCATGTTTGGGTTTAAAATCCATTTAGCAACCTTGTCTAATTCTTATGCCTTTATTGATATGTATGCAACTATTCAACCACTTTTCCTAAAGTTGACAGCAGCTGCTATGACAGCTTTCAGCACCTGAAGCATTAACATGTTTAACTTCCCATCACCCTTTTAATTCCTTCTCTTCCAGGTTTTTCCAAATATTTCACAATGAGAAGGAGAAAGAAAACAAGTACATATCTATAAGGGTGTGGGATATAACTTTCAGAGTAATAACTCAAATCTCTTTACTGTCTGAGGATTTACAAAGTGCTGTCATTGTGTGTG